TTATATATATATCCTCAAATATTTTAATAGTATTTTGAGGATATATATACACACACACACACAAAATAAAACACAGTTTATCAATAAACAGTAATTAGATGAAAAGATCAAACTACTCATTTTTATTTCCTTTGGCCATTCCTTTCTTAAAAATTATTTTGGGGATTCGTGATTTTTTTTCTATATAATATTATTAAATATGTTTTTAATTGGAATTTACCTGAATTGCAACTTTGTCAATAAAACAGCATCCTTATTGTATAAACCAAGAAAATTCAGGAAAATATAATTCGCTGAAACTAATATTAGATTCACAGAACTGTGGATAAAATGTGAGTTCTTCTGAACACAGATCCCCTTTATAGTCTTCATTAGATCTATGTCAAGATACTCTGTGTGAAAATTATGTAGTTTCTTAGTGGATTAAATTAAAGTCGGTAAAGCCATTGTATAAATAGCTGGAAACTGAGGAAGTGGAGGGTTTGCCTGGGGAGCTGTATTTGTTTGTGCCTGAGAGGACAGCAGGCCCCGGGTTCCGGGAGCATCTGAGTGGTCCATCTGAAGGTAGAGGTTCTCTTACTGTCGGCCTCAAAGATAAGTCAACTCTTGCTCTTCAGTTAAGCATTTTTTATTTTTCCCTTTTTCTTCTTCTTTTTTTTTTTTCCCCCTCAGATGGGCTCTTTGTTTTCAGGATCAATTTGGTGTAAGGTCATGTTCTGCATTAACCCATACTGGCCCAGAGAAATGAATTCCATCTCCAAGGAAAGAACAGTACCTCTGGGAATAAGAATGTATATGCTTCTACAGCGCTTCTAGAATATTAAAAAGCATGGGAGGATGGCAGTCAACACTCAGCCATCCCTGAAACTCTTACTTGAGTATTTATGATCACAGAGACTAAGCAACAGGACAACAATGACGTCCTAGGTTGAGATTTCTAGTTCTTTGGAGTAGGAAAACCATCTTGAGCCAAGATCCCAGGATGTTGTAGGCAGGAACTCCAATGAGAATATTCTAGGCTCACATTTAATGTCTTTCTGCAAGTAGGACAAGCAGACAGATTTTTAAGAAGTTGGTGGGTGAGAACTTATTGGGGAGAGAAGCTTGGATAGGTCTTTGTGGGAACAGGTATTCTAAATTTATTATGTTTTTCAAAGAATGGAGCTAGATGGAGATTCTGAATAGGATCTTAGCATATTGGAAGTGCTGGATTGGAATAATTTGGAACCTGTTTATCTTAAGTTAGTAATAGCCGAAAAATGTGTGTGTATGTGATTGTGTTGCTGTACTGGTTAAATTATTTGACACTCCAGCAGAAGTGTTTAGCACAATGAGCCAAAATTAGCTTTTTACTTTCTTTTGATATACAGCTTTTCAGAAAGGACGTATATATATAAACAATAACACTTGCTTTTTCCCTAGGATGAGGTTTTGTCATAAAAAGGTTTGGTGATATTTGATTTCTGTCCTGGACAAAGGTCTTGTTAAAGAGTTGAGTTGTAGAGTTATTTCACATTTATGAGATCTGTCCTTAACATCACCATTTGGATATTACTGATTTCACATCTGAATGTCAATTTTATGTTTTACTTGGAGAAACTTCATTACATTTAAAGACTATGGACTGAAGCTTTGCATTCTGACATTTTGGAACTGAAATATTTACTTTAAAGACAACTTTCAAAACCTGTAATGTTTTATTATTAACTGCACTATAATAATTTCTATGATTCATTTTTTGTCACATGTACTCATTTTATACATTTGACTATCTCTGTTGCTGTAAGTACCCTAAACTGATAGAGGAGTCTTCTCCCTCTCATTCATCTCATTCCTTGACTAGACCCTCCAGTGCTTTTCTACTGGGTACAGACTCATTTCCCTTTTCTCCCCAGGCCCCTAACAAGTATCACTCTTAAGTACTTGTCCTGTATAGGATTCCCTTGCATGTGCTCTGTAAACAATCCAAACCCCACTGCCGACCTCACAGATACATCCTGTACATTCTGTGCCACGTTGTCCTGTTCAGTCTCTTCTTAGAACACTGTAGCTTCCTCATCCCACCTCTCTCTGCTTGCCAAACCCGTTTTTAGCTTTAACAGTCCATTTCAAATGCCTTTTTTCCCCACATGGTTGCCCTTTGGCCCCTATTCCTGCAGCTAATATTAATTCCTGGTTACTCTTTAATGCTCTACACATAGTCCTTCTCAAGAACCCTTTACTGTTTATTTTTGAGGTTGTCGATGTGTCTTTGTCAGTGTGTAAATCCTTTATGGTAGGAGTTGTATCTTTCTTTCTCTTGCAGGCACCTACCAGAACATCTTGCATGGGCAGCCTGGAGTCAGTAATGTTTAGTTAAATTGTTAACCAGTCACTATAGTATTCTTTCCAAACCAGCAGTGGTGAATCTCCAGTTAATCATCTGTGAATAGAGATGAATGTAGCTTTATTGAAAATATGACTTACGTGATTATTAGATTAGATTGTAGTTAGAGTACTCTTTTAAAATACCAGATCTTAACATTAGCAAAAAAAAGTTTAGTAAAGTGGCCACTAACTTTCTTACATACTAGTAAACCTAGATGTGGATATAGAAAAGTTGTTCTCAAAATTAATAGCACTAGCAACAACAAAGACACAAATGCTTAAAGGTACATGAATAAGAAATATATAATATAAATAAAACCATCAAACTTTAATAAGAGATGTAAAGATTTTGAGTAATTATAGAAACATTTCTGGATAAGAATATTGAATATTGTGGGGATTTCAGTTCTATCCGGATTAATTTATAAATTTAACTTAGTCCCAATATAAAATGATCCTAAAACTTCTTTGTAAAATGAATAGGTATGAATAGTTATGGCAGTTTTAAAAAGAAGAGTAATGGAAGGGTTTGCAGGAGAGGGAATTCTTTGTCAGATATTAACTGATAGTCTTTGCAACAATTTGGTTTCAATACAAGATTTAAGATGTCAGTGGACAGTATTAGAGCCCCAAATAGACCCTTTATATATAATTACTTCATTTGTAACAAAGTAAACATCACAAATCATAGAAGTTATTGATTATTCAATAAGTAGTGCTAGGAAAATTGGCTACTGGGGAAGGGGAGAAATAAGGCTCATATCCTCACCTTCAGTTAAATTTCAGAAGGAATAAGTGGTAAGTGTTAAAAAGGAAAATAGAATCAGAAAAGAAATATAGGTTAAAAAAAAGAAAGAATCTAAAAAGGCCTAAAGCTAAAGAAAAAAGAGAAGGAAAAATCAGAGGCAAGGATTGATAATGTTTGATTATGTAAACATTTTGAAACATTTGTATGTCAAAACATAAAAGATAAGGGACACTTTGGAGGAAAATATTTGCCAAATGTAATAGACAAAGGTTGCCCTTAATATATAAAGACCTCTTATGAATAAATAAAAAAATTTAACATTCCAATAAAAATGGGCAAATATGAACAAGGAAAGCCATAAAGAAATGCAAATAGGAAAATGTACGTTTAAAACTAATATCAATATAAATCAAAATATATAGGATAAACAATCATGAAATATCATCTTCATCAGACTGGGAAAGATTGAAATTTAATACCTAAAGTTGGTAAGAGTATGATGAAATAGACACACTCATGCATTATTTATTGATAGATACATAAATCAGTGTGAACTTTTTGGGAAAACAGACTTTACTATTGGATCCAATGATTCTGCTCCTAGTGATCTAAAATAATGGAGAAACATATTGTGTTAGTCATTTCTTCCTGTGTAACACTCCAAAACTGAGTGACTTAAAAATAAGCATTTATTATCTCACAGTTTCTGTGGGATGGGAATTCCTGTGCAGCATAGACAAGTGCCTCTAACTCAGGTTCTCTCACAACCCTGCAATCAAGTGGTGGCCAGACTATATAGTTAAGACATGACTGGGGGAGAATCTGCCTCCAGGCTCACTCATGTGGCCTCGGGTCTTTGCTAGCTGTAGGCTGAAGACATGAGTTCCTTGCCACATGACCCTCTCCATAGAGCTACTTCAACAACATGGCTTGCCTGCTATAGGGAGAGATGGAGTTCTGTTCTTTTTGTAACCTAATACTGAAGGTAACATCTCCTCACTTCTGGAGTCTGTTTGCTAGGAGTAAGTACCAGGTCCAAATCACATTCTGGGGGAAAAGATCACATAAGGACATGAATACCAGGGTATGAGTTTTGTTGGAATATTTACCCCTACACAGGTTAATATACAATGGTTTTCATCAGTTTTTTTTTAATTTATAATAGCAAAAATATAAATAATCACATACACACAAAGAAACCCGTTAGCAATTTAAATATTCCATAGCGGAAGAATAGTTAAATTGAGCTACATCCACACAGTGGTAGTATAATTGCATAATAATGAAAAAATAATAATAATTGCATAATAATGATAATGTCTACCTTTTTTGAGTGTCAGTCATGTGCTATTCATTTGCTACATATTGTACAAATATTTCTGATCCTGACAACAATCATGTAAGGTTGGTTGTTACTCTCATTTTACAGATGAAAAAACTGATGCTCAGAGACAAAGTAGTTCATTGAATTCTCAGCACTGGCATGCCATTATAGGGTTATCTGGCTTCAAAGCCCAGTAAGGGCTGCCACTGAAGTATGCTTATGAAGTTTAACGACATGAGGAAGACTTAAAAAACTGTTTTTACAAAGTGATCTGTGTGTGCACATTTTATTTACATCGAAGAAAAAAAGATAGTCACAAATGTTATCTTTCAGTGGTAGAATCATAGAATACTAAAATTTTTCTTTACACTCAATTAATTCTAAATCTACATTGTGCATGTATTCCCTTCATAATCATTTTTAAAAATTGGAAAGCTTTGTAAAGTGTTTCAGCTCCCTCTACTCCCAAGGAAAAACCACTAAGAAGACTTGTACACACAGTTTTATGTAAAATTGAAATTTACTTGATAATGAATCAGTTCCTTTAATCTGCTCTTCTAGATTACTGATCTCTCCTTACCCAACTATCTGATGGCATCTTCAGTTGGACTGCTTCCTACCCAGCTTCTGAATTCTTACTTGGGTACCACCCTGCGGACAATGGAAGATGTCATTGCAGAACAGAGTGTTAGTGGATATTTTGTTTTTTGTTTACAGGTGAGTTTAAGGCCAAGGGTTGTCTTTTTTTTTTTTAATTGTCTTTTTCTATGGCATTACTGACTTAAACTTAACAGATTTCATTGAAAATAATTTAGGAGGATTTTTTCCTTTTTATATCTTACCTTGTTCTTTCGATTATACTTCATATTTTGACATTTACATTTTAACTGTATGGATATATGGAAGTTTATAAAACTGAATTGATACTGAAAATTCTCTTAAAACAAACAAAAAAGGGAATGACAAAAATAAGGTTCTTTTTGCAGTGATTTTCAAAATCATTACTCTATTTTGAGTTTTTGTGAAGTGTTGTTAATACTATGTTTCTGAAGACAAATTTAGTGAGAATTGGTAGAGTTGGGTTTTCATCTTACTTTATCTTCTAATAAACTCTCCAGTTGGTATTTTTAAGAGTATTATACTGGCAGTGTAAAGTAATTTTTTCCAGTACAGTTTTATGTAGAACAAAATATTTTTTTTTAGAAAGTATTGCTTTATAAAAAGCACCTGAAGTATTCCATTACAAATTTAAATAAGATTTGCATAATTGATTGCTGTTGCCATGCAAATTGTAATATAGTTTAGGGTACATACAATTACATATAAAAGGTTGATAAGAGAGAAAAATCCTGCCCTCTAGGCATATTTATTCAGTTCCTTTAAGTTGCAACAGGAAGAGTTAAAAAAATTCATTTCTTTGGTTGTGCTACATGTCCTTCCTGAGATTTACCAAAATATAAAATCACTGTAATTTTTGATGATTTAGGTAAGATGCTGATAATAACTTTTATTGAGATCTTTATATGCCATATATTTAAGCTCATTTAATCCCTACCAAAGGGCTAGGAGGTATGTACTTTTATTATCTCCAGCCAATTGTATATACATCTCTTCCCAGCTCTTGTGTTCAGTGACATCAGCAGTGGTAACTAGAAACTGATCATTGCAGGAGTATTTATACAGTGGAAAATGTCAGGTGCTCCAAATCAAGATTCTTACCTCTCATCTCCAAGAGCTAGTTTATCAGCACACCAGTGGAGGGTAATTTGTCTAAAGTCACAGCTGCAAGGGATAGAACCACGATATGAACCAAGGCACTTGGCTCTGTGCACTATGCTCATAACTAGGACCATAGTTTACTGAGCATACAACACTGAGATAGCCAACATCTTATTGACCCCTCAACTTGTTAGTTTTAATTTATATTGTTATTAAATATATGATACCATATTAGAAATTTAGTTGTTAGCATTATTCTCAATTTTTAAGGTACTATATTGTATTAAAAATACTATGATAAATAAAGCCAGAGTTGATTTTTGCTGTGCTTATGTAGTACAAGTTCAGTAAACAGAGTAAGCCCAGGAATATTTATACTGAACTATAATTAAGGCTTATCAATTAAATGGCTTGCTTTAAGAAAAATTTTGTAATATTTTTGACATTCAGGGAATCTTTTTTTTTACTTTTTTTCTACAGAATTATATATATACACACACATTATGTATATATATATATTTTTAAAGAATCTGAATCTAGGTTTAGAGTTTTTATTAAAGTTGGCTTATTTTTATTAATGTAGTATGTTAATCACATTAAGCTTTTTATGCATTATATCTACATGATTTATGTTTATAATTACTTTAAGGTACTATAAGATTCTAACATACACTGCATTCTCAAATTTTTTTAGCATAAACTTAAGTATATTTTATGTTTTTCTAGTTTCCTGAAAATGAATAATCCATTTGAAATATCTTTCTCCCCCTTTATATTATGTTTGAGCAATTAGAATTTGTCATTATTAGTAGGTCTCATAAGATTTTCACTATTTTTGATACTTTATATTTCTATGCATCTTAGTAAATCATTCAACTATAATTGGTAGAGTTATAATAGAACAGAATAGTCCATGTATTTGTCAGTAGCGCTTCTAAACATATAGGGTCTTCTTTTTATCCAGAGATTTCTTACCCCTTTGTTTGAGCTGACAAATTTAGGCTTAGCATACAAGACGGGGGGGAAAAAGGGCAAATAGTTCTTAACCCGGACATTTATGAAAACAACAATAACCACCACAACAAAAAAAAATAAAGGCATATTTATGCCTCAGTTTTATTTATTGATGTTACTTATAGCCTAGTATATTTCAGAAAGGATTTAATTTAGCTTATAAAAGATATACAGGAGAATTGTTTAAAACAAGAGGGAAAAGAAGTCATCTTGAAAGGGGAAGTACATAGGGAAAAGGGATGAAGCTTAGGTGAAAGTAGAGTAAGTGTATTCATGAGGTTTCTCATATTTTGCTAGAAATAAGCTACGAATTTGCCTCTGAGCTTTATAGCCACCTAAATAAAATGAAAGCAATACAAAATAGGTGTTCAGAGGAAGGCACAACTATTTCTTGTACAAAAATTCAACTTAGATTGTGTGGACTCGAATTCGGTTACTCTTTTCCATGCCCTGTGTTGTCCTGTGTACCCACCAGCCGAAACCCTGGATGAGTCCAAGTTTTGATACGCTTTGCACCTGTTGTTTTTGGGAAGTCATACAGCCAGATTGGTAATATTTAATTCATAGTTGCAAACCTTCTGCTGGTTTCTCAACATTGCCCCATAGCCCAACTGTTTCCTTTGTCTTCCCACTTCCCCATTTCTTCAATGACTATTGCAAACCTATCTTAACTCCTCACAATTTTGATTCCTATCCCCACTTTCCTCTTCAGTCTCAACAGATTACTCTTTTGCTTAACAGAAAAATCAGAAGCCTTCAAATGGGAAACCCCTCAATTTCCATCTAAGAAATCCACTAATGCTCTGTGTTCTGCTCATGCTCTCAGCTTGCTCTCTGTTGTGACAGTGGAAGAGATGCCTTTCTGTAGAAGGCTTGTCCTTTTACTGTGTTTCATTCTTTCATTTTAATGGGGAAGCTTTCTAAAACAGGTTTTTGGTTTTTGGGTTTTTTTATTTTACATTTTCACTAAGGTGGTGTGTTGGGAAAAGAATTAGTACAAATTGCCAGGTCCTGGGTCTAGAAGGGCATCTGGGGAAAATCCCAGGTAAAGAAATAGCCAGTTTACTCTCACTGGGAACCTGAAAAAGTTTTTCTGCTAGATCTAAGCCTGCTTTCTATGGCTGTCATTGTTAACTTTGTTGAAATCAGATGCATTTTCCAGTTTTCATCTGGCTTGATCTCTTAGCAACCTAGCATTCTGTTCACCATGCTTTTTTAAAACGGTTTCTTCCCTTAGCTATTTTGATTGTTTTTTCTACTTGCCTGGTTCATTAATCAGTTTGTCTTCCTCTTTTCACCCGAAAATTGGGGTTCCTCATGATATTCTAGCCTAAGCTTTCTGTTCTTACTCTGAAAACTTTCCTTGTTAGCAAATCCTGTTATTGTGGTGGCTGCTATTCTGTTTCTTTGTGTAAGGACTCCCTCATACACATCTTGAGCCCAGCCTTCTTGCCATAGCTTTGGACCTGTTCCCTGCACTGCTTTGGATCTCTGTTAGGAACCTCAAATTCAACATGTCTGAGGCAGAGTTTAGCACCTCATCTGCACCCTTTCCAACTTAGTTCTAAGGTGCTTTCTATGTCTTCACATGGTGTCATCACAACACTGATAAGTATCAGACTTAGGGTTTTCAGTAAGTAGATCTTGTTTTTTTTTGGTTTTTTTTGTTAAAGAGAGCTCACACGTTAGAGATCGAACACAAGATTTGAAGGCCCACCTTTAAAATACCTAATTTGCTCAGAATTCTATGGAGTAATGAATACCCACTTACTAGTGCCCCCCTTGCACATGTTCCAAATTCCCCTCTCTAACCCACCCCCAGCATGTCTGCCTCTGCCCTTCCCCCACTACCCTCAATGCTTGTATTCAGAATACTTTTCCCACAAAACTGCTAAAATTATGGGTAGGCTTAATTGAAACAGTGTTATATTTTAGGGTCACTATGGATAGAGCAGCCTTTGAAACTTACTGGGACATTAAACATCACCTGTTCTAACCTTGTAGCACTGAGAATATTTGCTCCAAACTCTGAAGAACTGATTTACAAATGAAGTTTGGAATAAATACCATTTAGAAGATATGTCCTGCCTAGACATTCTGATGAACTATATATAGAATGTTAAAGCACATTAACACATAAAGAGGTACCACTGCTTCCTATCGGACAGAGGCAGAAGCCCACATAGTGATGTGAAGTCACATCACTAGTTGAGTGGCTAAACCAAGACTAGCACCTGACTTTCATGTCAGTGCTTTTTCTAGTATCCCTCTGACGGGCATTTTTTTCTTGATCACCATGTTTTCCTTTGTTTTTGTTTTTCCCTAAGCACAGACAATTTGTTCATGGTCTCTTGTGAATTTCTTTTGAAGTTTATTGGCATTTCATTTTTTTAAAGTGGTTCTTAATATTTTGAATTTTGGCTGCACCAGGTAGTTCATTTGCAAATGGTAGTGCTTCTCTGTGAGTGGACTTAGGAATACCTATGGACATTTATAGTCATGCAAAGATATGATATTACATTAATTACATTAATAAGATTTAGTTAGCAGACCTCTATTGTAGACTTTTTTTTTATTCCTTGAAGGAAGCTTTTTGGTACAAAGAGACAGGTTTAACTTGTATCAAGGAAACATCATTTATATGGACTAAAAGGGATGTCTGCTTGCCTTGTGTTAACCTGATATCCTACATTGGTGACTTAAAGATTTTAGCCCTCTAATCTCAATAGATGCACCAAGGAAAGAATGAATGGCAACTCTTTATAACCTATTTAAAATTGTTACCTGACCGTATTAGAGAAGCATCCTATTTGAAACATTTCTAAGCCAAATATTTATTGGGTTTATTTCTCCCTTTTTTTTCCCCCTGTGTAAAATATTGTTAACTGTAGTGTTTTATTTTTATTCACAGATTATTATAAGTATAGGCCTCATGTTTTATGTAGTTCATCGAGCTCAAGTGGAATTGAATGCAGCTATTGTAGCTTGTGAAATGGAACTGAAAACCTCTCTGGTTAAAGGCAATCAACCAAATACCAGTGGCTCTTCATTCTACAACAAGAGGACCCTAACATTTTCTGGAGGTGGAATCAATATTGTGTGACTCTAAAGAAATGTACGATTGTCAAGAGCTGGTGTGCTGTCCAAGGTCTAGTGGTCACCTTACCAGCGGGCAGAGACAAGTTCTAATTGTATTACGGCACAAACAAAACTGACTAGTTTTTAAATTGCACAATTTTTTTAAAGAAAGAATCATTTTCTGGATATGTAATTGTAAATGTAGTTGCAAATTTGGGCTGCACCTCTTTATCATTTATTATGCCCACAGTGGCCCATAGGTCTGCACTTTAGTGTTTTTTAATTGTTTTCTTTCTGGGTACTTACGAACAGAGAAATAACCCAAATATTTTTCTGCTTAGTGTCTTTATTTATAAAGTCCATGAAAGTTGTAAGCATCTTCCCTACTTATAATGATGAGTAAAAGTATATAATTTTAAATGTATGATATTATTTAGATGTTCTGTGTCCTTTTCAGAAAAGATAGTTTTTTGTTGTTGTTTTTTGTTTTAAGTGGGACCACTTTGCTTCCCTTTTCCTTACTAGTTAGAAAATAGACATTAACTTTCGGTTGAATGTATTTTTGCAAGCATCATTGCAGGGCCATTTACACCTTTTCACACAAGCTTAAATCCTACATTGTGGGACTGAAGTGCTCTTAAGATACCTTTTTATTTTCACTGTGGAATATGCAAAGCAAAAGGGAAATTATTTAATGGGCAGTGGCTCAAATTAGAACCCATGTTCTAATTCCATTACATTGGCTTTACTCTCGTTAGATCTTTCATCAAAGGACTGTCCCGTTGCAGTCTTACTAAAAAGTTTTAGTAAAATAAACTTCCTTTTCTTTTTATATTCATCATTAGGCTTTGAGATAAAGATCTATTCCTTTAAAATGATGGACTTACCATCATTGACGATGTCACTCAGGTGGCCTTGTTCAATCAAATAGCCTTTAAAAAAAAAAACCAAGCTTTAAAATCATGTTTATAAGTCCACTGAATTACATATATATGTCCCCATAGTCTTCAGCTTTAAAACTATAAATATAATGTTAACTTAATGCCCAAATTTGTATTATTTGCCCTACTATAAAGTAGGTTTATTTTGTTTTTTGGTACTTGTTTTTCTCTGATAAGACTCAGGAATTCTGAAATGTGAAATTAAGTCTCAATTCTTTCTCTTGTAGCATGAATTGAGTGTATTTATTAATAGCACTTAGGGATATAGCATACAATAATTTGGCATATGATTCATACGACATATGTATTACCCATCTATCACCTTATGTTTTTAAAATGGTTTAATTGTGAACTTGATGACTAGTTTTTTTACAACCCAGATTATAAATATGAATGCAAATTTTCTGGTTGGTATCTCTTTTTTGGCTATGAATATTCCACCTTATCAGAGACCTCCCATTTGCCTTTTCATTAGGGTAAAACCTTTGCCCTGATTTACTAAAGTGCAAAAGAATTCTTCGGGAGCAGGTTATTCCTAGTCTGATGCTGTAGACACATTGCATTTGATTTTAATGCATAAGTTTTTTTTCCCCTATTGCAGTTATAATTGATTTCCTTTCCTTCATCATGTTTAAGTTTTCTCACCTTTGGGTAACAGAGAAGTTCATTTATTGATTTCCATACCAAGACCTCAGTGCAAATGATCCAAGAGGCACCTGGGTCTACAGTACTTAATTGGACTCCAAATCCTTCTTTCTTTCACTGGTAGAAAAAAATATATAGTACTAGAATATTCTTATTCTTTTTTTAATCCTAATTACTTGTTTTTATTTTTTAAAATAATTTTAGTTTAATAATCCCGATGAACAATATGCTTGATTTATTCTTTTCTGTCTAACTTGACAATATTTTTCTTGTGCTTCTTGTTTGTTGGTAAGTTTTTGTTAAAGGAATCATTTAAGATCACTACTTTCAGACTTACGTTACACTTCATGTATTTTGAAGTGCATTTATTTACTTAGCATTTTGTAACTTGAATAATTTCACCAAATGAATACCTTTTAGTGGTTTGTAATGAGTTCTTCCAGTTGTTGCATTTTGCTTCATACTTAAATATGTAAAGGTAGAAGAGAAATAATTTTTCTGTATTCTGCCAATCATAATTTTATATAATAAAATCCATTTTTTACTTAAAATAGTATGGATTTACTATTTCTAAAATACTAATCTAAAGCTGCAATTTTCCTTTGCTGCTTTATTTTTGGCCTCCAAGTAAACAACAGTCCATTATATTCATGCTGTTTGATAGCTGAATTTGGTTACTGGGTTTTAGATGTGCTCTCTATAAATTGTATGAAGCATTGCCATGCCTTATTCACTCCATCTTTAACCCTGCATCCCACATTTATGGCAGCAACAAATTTAACAGGATCCTTGTACGTTGCCCAAATGATGCCTCCAGTTCTAGAGTGTATATTTGTAAAAGAAAATGTTTTGATTTTTCAAACTGCAGTATAAAGTTGCTTTATGAACATTTTAAAAAGTATACAACATACCTAATTTCTCAATTTGATTGAAAGATATGTTCTATTTTTAATTCTTTGGGCCTTTCCCTTAGTTTTCCATAGTTTTTTGGTTTATTGTGAATGATTTGTTGACTCTTCGCCAAATTTGGTCATGTAAATTATCTTTAAACAGCACATCTTTTTAAAAACGTGTACATAATAATTTACTAAGTGCTTTCACGTCCATTTTCATTTGATCATCTGATTTGTGAAATAACTTGAAATCTGTACTCTTTGGTTTATGAAAATAATAGAACCAAATCTCTGTCGTTAGAATGTGTGTTTTGAGTTTGTGTTCAAAAGTGTGTGGATTTGTTCAGAGCCAGCCATACTCTTGTTTAATGTACTTTGTAACTAACTGCAAACCTAAGATGACTTTCCTTTGATAGGGTCAAACATATGACTATAAACCATTTCTCTCCTTGAGAGGCTAAGTTCAGTAGTTACTCTTACTTACATCCTTGCTGTAACTGAGCTCAGTGTTCTAGCCACCGGCATGTCCCAGCCTTTCTGTGTGTGTTAACGTGCAATGCTGATTTGGACTGATTTTGGGGAAGGTGCTATGGCTTACTTATGTCAGTATTTGTGGGACTAGCTTTAGAATGCTTGAGAAAGAGGCTAGGTACGTGCCAAGGTGATCCAGGTCCATCCTTAGATGCATGGTAAGTCCATGCTATTCAAAATCAAGTGGCGTTCATAGAGAAAAAGAAAGGTTTAGGAGGACCTCAGGAACAGTCATACTGACCGAGGTTGATGACTTCAGTGATGGAATTTGTTTCCGAGGCCACTCACTTATCAGAACAATGGTCAAAATTAAACTATCTGGTGTTTAGATTGGACGTTGCTGATTTCTGTTATAGTAAGCTAGTTAGGATATCATTTTTTTTTTAAAGGTCATCTCTTTAAGTTTAAAAGCCTTTAAAGAATGGGGAGGAATCACCTGTTCCGCAGGATATTTGAAACTCAGGAGTTCTAATAACTTTGCATATTGAACATGAACTATTTCACAACTAAATTATAACTTGGTACTTTGGAATTGCTAAGTGATTGCTGCAAACTATTTTCTACGGTAGCTGAAGATTTAAAATAGATAATTTGAAGGGTGAATCAGTAAAATCTCTTGATAATTGATATCCCAGATCACTTGTGTGCCTGAGAAAATAAAAGGTGATATTTTATTTTCCTTCTTTCTTCTCTTTCTTTCCCTCTATAATTTGATGGATATAGAGACATGTGACATGGGAGGGAGCAATTTAGAAGGAAGGGAGGACATGCTTCTAAGATGGAATGGTGGTGACTGACCCTAGAAGAGGGTGATTATGGTTACGGTTATAGCAGAGGCCCTCTGGAGAAATGATTCTGATGTCTTAACATTGCCACTTGCTCTTTGATTTTCTTTTTTCTAATACCCCTAAATCACGAAATGCCACCTGCCTGTCAAAAAATCTTTAGTCATTTGTCCCAGGCTGCAGTAATGTGTACGATGCCTTCATAATGTTGAAAGACTTTAACCAAAATGATTTCATATGGATCTCTACCCTCCTTCCATGACTGTTGCCTTGAAGGCATACTCTGCTGTCATAACACTTCCATCTCCGCACCTAAAATAATACTTGTCCTTGTTTGTTTGTAGCAGTTACCGCACTGTCATGTACATCTTTTTTGGCCATTTTTGATCAAAATCACTTGCTAGAACATAAACTAGGCCAAAGGGGGGATGCCCCATGTTACAGACTGCTTTCAGCTGGAGAGGTACAGTGGCACACTGACTGGATAAGTGTGTCTGCCAGCGCGAGTGTTCATTACCCAAGATTGCTCACTACTCTCTGCCATGCCCTCTTTGGTTGAGGGTGCCTGTCAGCACTCATTGTGGGGAAAACGTAGTAGTAGTATACTGTATTAGGAGGTCAGTATTGAACATTTTTAGGGATAGCATTAAATGCACAGTGGCATTAAAATAGTGTATGTGTGTATGGTAAATTATTTTGCCATGTTTCAACAAACTTGATTAAACAATAATTACTAACTGATAATACTATCTTTAAAATGACTAATACTCTTTAGGGCAATCTGCTGAGTGAAAGGCTTAAAAATCACAAAATATGCAGAGAAGTGAAATAGAAGAGAATGAGTAGAATATGCATTGAACCAAAAGAGAATAATTTGAAAATTACAAAATTTTTACAGTAGGTATACAATTAGAGTGGTATGGGTTTTTTTTTTTTAAGATTTTATTTATTCACTATAGAGATGGAGCTATATATGGAGGGGAGAGAGAGAGAGAGCACATGCATGAGCGGGAGGGGGGAGGAGCAGAGGAAGAGGGACAAGCAGATTCTAAGCTGAGCAGAGAGCCCCACGCCAGGCTTGATCCCAGGACCCCTAAGATCATGACCTTAGCCGAAACCAAGAGTTGGACGCTTAACTGCACCACCTAGGCGCCCCATCCCTAGAGTGATATGTTTTAATGTTAAGTGTGTTTATCCTACGATGCATAAAATTTATGACCACCATACAGTAGAAGCAGCCAAGAGGGAATTCTTTGATTCTGTCCTTATTAGTTACAAAGCGCTTTTCAGTAGAAATGTTTTGAAGCATGGCCTGTTTCATCCTCATTATCTCTCCCAGTCTTGCACTAAGTTGACCTCAGCAAGGAGGGCAGGGAACTGAGTGGTTTTCCATTAAGTTTTTTCAGTTCATTAGTCCAATTTTAAGTTAATTAACTGGTTTTGTGTCATCACATACTTTAAATTTACAAAAGAACAGCTTTGCATGGAATCCACATTCTAGGTAGTTTTCAAAGGAGTGCATTACATTATTAGATGGACTTGGAGCAGATTCTGGGAACACGGAACCTGAGATTGTCTTTCCTCCGCTTGGCTGCTAGGATCTACGGACTGTTGGGCACAGATGAGGTTTGCTTTCTTGTGAGGGTCTTAGCAGAGAAAGCCCGCCTCTGATTTTTTCTGGTTTCCGGGAGAGCAGGGTTTTCTCTGCTGGGAGGAAAGACTGGAGAGCTGGAGATCTTGGGGAGACTTTTATTTTGAAATTCTTGGGCTTCTCAGTGGAAGTTTGATATGGGCCCCACCAAAATATGTCAGTTCTCCCTGGCCTCAGTAGGCTGAGAGCAGCTGAGTGGCCTGTTTCCTGCTGCCAGAGAAGGAGAGAATTCAGGAAGACCATACATAAAGAAGTTTCCTGCAAACTTCCTCCAAAGAATCCACAGCCTGCCTGCTTCACATTCCACGCCTGTTATTTCTGATGTCTTGTATTAATTGCAGCATTGTTCTTAGTGTCAAACAACTGGAAACAAAGTGAACACAGCTTGTAGGGGAATGGCTGCACAAATTATGGCAGATCCACACCACTTCAGAGAAAGGAACTAGATGCGTGTCCATGAATGCTGACGTCCACTCTCCTAGGCTGCTCCCAGCCAGTCACTGGGCAAGGTCCATTCCTGGTGCTGTGGGATTCCTCTAACAGGAAACATTTCCTTAGGGACATCCCATCAATTGGGCTGAGGTTTTCTCAGGACTGACCTGCAATCTGAGGTCCATCCTTTGCTCCTCTCACAGGTGTTAGTCCCAAGTCTTAGTCAAAAGGCCCTCTCTGCCAACTCCTGCTTCTTCCCCTTTATTCTTCACAGGCATTTCCCTCAGTAAGTCTCTTGTGTTTAACTCAACTTGCATCTGTTTCTTGGAAGACCTGAACTGATACAATCTGCTATGATGCAATGAGGGGGAAAAAAATCACTTCTGTGATATTTCTGTCAAAAATGCATGATCTGAATCTCTTCATGAGGAAACACCAAACCCAACTGAGGTACCTTGTAAACACAACTGGCCTGTAGTCCCGAAAACTGTCAAGATTATGATTTAAAAAAAAAAAAAAAAGACTGAAAACCTGTTCCACATTGAAGGAATCTAAAGAGATGAGATAACTAAATGCATGTGTGATCATATATTGAATTTGTTACAAAGAACATTATTAAGATAAGTGGAAAACTTGAACTGGTTCTTTGTATTAGATGGTGATAACCTTCTTGATGGCATGAGAGGAAATGCTCACTAGAGAATTCAGGGATAATGAGTGGATCATCATGTCTGAAACTGGGATCAGAAGACAAAGGTCTTTGCACTATTCCTGCAACTTGTGTATAAATTTGAAATTCTCATCTTTCAAGAAGTAAATGTGGAATATGGAGAATGGACTCAGAGAAGCCAAGAAGGAAAGTCTGGAGACAAATTGGAAGGCTATTTGCAGATGTCCAGCTAACAATGAGTGGGCCAGGAGGTATGGTAAGCAAAGAGAGAGTCAAGGTAGATTTAAGTGATAGAATTATCCAGACTCATTAATAAATTGGATATGGGGGGGTAAGAAAAAGGGTTATTAAAGATAATTTTTTGTTTCTGGCTTTAGCAACTGACTGGAGGCTAGCCACTCAGTGTATGTAGCAAGGAAGATGGAGGGGATAATACATTTGGGAAGAAATTCAAGTGTTCTCTTTCATATGTTATAATTGAGAAGCCTGGTATTATTAGTAGGGAGTTGGTTATATGGATCTAGACTTTAGAGGAGAAGTCTGGGATAGAGATGTAAATTTAGGAATTAATAGCATATAGAACCATT